GCAAAGTAGCTATAAGGCAAAGATCACGAGACTATCACTGTTAGGACGGCCAGCATGCGAGTCATCACTCGGGCCGTCCTTAGGGCAAAAGAACAAAGGAAGCTCACATGCCAGCGGAGGCAGGTAGAACGGGACAAGACGCGCGACCTTCAAAGGACTGACATGCGAGGACGCAAGGACAGCCGCCGGTCGTGTTCTGAGGTCACGACTGGTTAGGGGCAAAGTGCGCCCATCAAGTGTCACACTGAGGACACCACACGATGTGTGCTCGCATGAGCCACTAGCAGAAAAGCTAATAGGGAACAAAGGCCGTTGGTCCTTAAATACGCTGCTACTGCTAGAGGCGGCACTCTGCTGGTGGGGACACGAGATTCTGCTGCTGCAGACACGGGACTCTATTGACCTAGACGAGGGGCTTCTACCGAGACGAGACCGACGATAGAGCACACGCTGATGACGGACACAGGACACGCTGCTGACGGACACAGGACATGCTGCTGACGGACAGAGCCGATGTACAAACAGAAACAGTGACAGTAGACTATTATCTGCCATCCTCTCTGCCTTCTTTTCTTAACACGCAACTGAGGGATATAACCAGTGTCGACGCTGGCACACCCAAGGTTATAACAATCAGAATTTATTGACGTCATACGATATCACGACCTCTTAATGAACGGCGAACGGTCGTTGCCTATTTTTAAGATAAATTAACCGTCCAATTAATGTGTCCAACGTGATAAAGCGAAGGCTTCGGTGCACGATTGAAAGAACGTACACCGCCTCTAAATTGTTATACATAAGCGCAACAACGGCTATTCCAGTAAGACCAACTAAAGGCATTCTTTCAAGCATAGGCATTCTGCCTATGCACGCCACAGCAAACTGCGTTTACGAGTTGACATGTTGTTGCGGATGTAAATACGTCGGACGTGCGCAAAGGCAGTTGACAACGCGGTCAGAGGAATATATACCGAAGTGTTGGCTCAGGGCGCAAAAAATGACCAAGAGTTCAATTACGAAGCACCTAGTGAACATAGGTCATACGGTCGACCAAAGGACTGCAATCAAAGTCGTACTTAGGGCGACTAAAGGGCGCTGTGATCAACCTCTCATCATCGTGATAACGATCAATAAACTCGTTCCCTCTCACGCCTCACCCCCCGCTTTTGACCGACTGCTAGCCTGCCCTTTGCCTGCCCCCCTTTATCACGTTTCACAGGCTTACACTGTATCATGAATGGCCATGCTTCAATAAGTAGCCCCCCCCACCTCTACCCCCTTTATCATGCATCCACATCGAAGACTAATAGGTCCTACTCCATTGACTTATCAAGTTTCGTCCTTGTTGGTCGATACTTAATTGGACAGTTAACGGCAATTACCGTTTGCAGTTGAATAACATGTCACGAAATTGTATGACGTCAATAAATTCTGCTTATCTCGTGATCTTTGCCTCGTTTAAATTTATTTTAAGAAAACAATGCTTTAAAGTAGTTATAGTTAGCAAAAAGACGGGCGCCACAAAAGTGCGCGACTGGCCACCTAGCTCGATGAGCACACTCTACGAGTGAGCAGGTGTGCAACGCACAAGTGGCGACTAAAAAGTTGGACAAGGTCCCAGCCAATAGTCTTCCGGGAATAAATCGATTACTACACAAACCCAACCAACCGCCTTCAAGTTTGTGGCCAATTAGCGGCAAACAACGCCCGCTGCGTAGCCAATTAGATCGCGTGAAGCCGCCGATGCAATGAGCGTGAGGAAATTGTACGCGCGGGATAGCTAAGCCGTGAGTAGAGAGCCGTGGGTCAGAAATGGTAATTAGACGATAGGTAAATATCTCCAGGACGAAAAATGAGACCTACGTCATCCCAAGTGAGAGGAGACTGAAAAAATTGACTAGGAGTGAGCAGAAAAGAAGCCAGGCTCCGTTCGGAGGAGAGGTCTGCGGTGTCTGAGGTCGCGGCAATAGAGTACATGACAGGCAAGTAGGGATGCTTGGCTGCCCTTGCGACAGCGGTCTCACCCAACGCGTTTTTCCTCTCAGGACTCCATTTGAAAGGCGGGGCGGTGAGGAGAGCTACGCAATAGCCAGCCAATTGATGTACGGCGAACTGCAGACCAAAAAGGAAAGGCGGATGTTTAATCCACCGCCCAGACAAGGACAGTACGGGTGGGACATAACGGTAATTAAAAAAGGCAGAGCGTGTAACGGCGGAAAATAATAGCAATAATTATGAATAGTCGAGAATATGCGAGGCTCACGTAACCGAATAGAAGAAGGTAAAACGTCCTCTGGAACCAGTGGTGTATTTGTCCGACGTTTCGAGCCCTCTCGCGAGCTCATTGTCAAGGACTGTCAGCTTATATTGCTGGTGTATCTAAAGAATTCGCTCAACTGGTCAGCGAATTTGGGATTGGCGTCGCTCACAGACCGGAAGCAACAATTCGCAGGCAACCTATGCGGCCTGAGGACTCAGTTCCCGTTAACCAAAAGTCCGGTGTCATTTACCGCATCGAATGTCTTTGTGGTCAAGCCAACTATGTTGGTGAAAGTGGTAAACAGGTTCTCACGAGGATGCACCAGCATGAACTCGCCGTGCGACGGAAAGACAAGGCACGGCTTCGACGTCAAACGCGTGCGAATATTGGGTCAGTCAGACGACCGAAAGTCACGCCTGCTGCAGGAAGCATGTCATTCACGCGTGGATTCAATTAACAGGCACATCGATTTTCCTGATGCCTACCACGCGTTGTGCGAGCAGATCGAGAGCAGAGGTCACTCCCGGCAGAACTTAGTTAAAGAAGCAGTGAACTGTGCATCTTTTTCATTCCTTGACAATGAGCTCACGAGACGGTTCGAAGCGTCGGACAAATACACCATTGGTCCCGAAGAACGTTTTACCTTCTTCTAAGCAAATACACCATTGGTCCCAGAGAACGTTTTACCTTCTTCTAAGCAATAAATTACCAAATATTTGCGCGCGATAATTAAACTAAAAAGCACAACCAAAAGGAAACGAGAAGTGCCCAATTATATGACGAGTCATCAACTGTCTATCGACTCTATATCGAATGGGACCCGCAAAGCGGATACAATCGTAGGTCGAAATGTAGGCTTTTTTCCCAATTTTTTAAACTCACAATAGCTTCTAAACTATGGCACTACCATGAACGTAATCGTTCCGTTGGGACGACGAGAAAAGGCTGATCGCGATTATACAGTTTACAATACAAAATTACCTACATATTTCCTCATACATAACCCTAAACTTAATCCTTATCCGAACCCTAACCCTTACCTCAACCCCAAGCCTTACCTTTATCCTAACCCTAACTGGGGCTAAGCGTATATAAGGTGTGTTACCAATGATACCTCTGCTGAATTGGCTTAATTAGATTTGGGCGACAGGCCATTCTTCTGTCGGAGTGGAGTGTGTCATCGTAAGCAGGCTTACCCGCTGGCGGGGGTGGCGTACTAAGATTTTCGTGTAAAATAATGCATGCCTACTGTTACGAATTAAGTAGACATTTATGCGAGAAATAAGCGGTAAAGTAAACTTGCACCACTACAGTAGAAAACGGTAAGCTAGGGTGAGAAGGATCGGGACTTACGTCGAGAAGGTTCTCACCAACCACTTCGTTCACCAGTGTGGACTCAGTAATTTTGCCGTTGGCGGTCTCGCCTGGTTTTGCGAGAAGCGGGAGCAGGCCTTGAGCATCATCACTCATAACAGCCGATTGTGCCTTCTCAAGCGGCGACATAATCTCATCCATGCAGTCAAGGAAGGATCGCGAAGTCATCGTTTTGTTAGAAGAACTGAGACCTGACAGAGGAGAACAAATAGGTTAAAAAGCAGAAAGTTAAAACATTCTTTGGAAATTAAGTAAGTTTGCTGTTAGAAGCGTCCCCAGACGTGTAGGCCAGGTAAAAAAGTTCAGAAAATAAATTGACAAATATACGTTTGTTTTCGATAAATTCTCGTCAGGTTTATACATTTATAAACTATGCGGATTGGTAGAAAATATAGGGCGGTTGTCAGGGCAGGTGGCGTGGGGGGTCATCATGATCAAACGTCTGATCAGCGCTAAATATATGGTTTAACAACTCCATTCTAGCGCACCTAGTAAACTCAGACCACCGCTTTGATGCCTGAGAGGCCCTCAAGCTAGTCAAAATCCCTTGGATAGCGTCTGTTGGCTACGGCGGAAGGGCCTGCCATCAGGCTACGCCTACGGGTCCTGTAAGTCCAAAAGAACGTCGTAACGGTGCTGCAGTTAGCATTGCCGAAAGTCGCTAATTGACAGCCCGCAGCTTATCACCTTTCTGGGCTACGAGTTTCCCCTAACCCTCCCCTAACCTTGACAAACGCACTATTTTTTTCTACTAACCCGCAGGCCTGACAAGCATTAATCGAAAAAAAATGCATTTTTGCCAATTTATCTTCTGAAATTACCTTTTAAATGCGGCCAACAAAGCGTGTAATGATTGGCTAAAGTTTATTTCAACACGTCTATACCGCATGCCTGTCATTCGGTCGGACTTGACTGCGTTAAATGCGCCTAATCGAACTACATTAAGTGACCTGATCTTCGGCCTCGAGTTTATCGATTTTTTGTGGGCTGCGGAAATTTTAGCTGCGTGCACAATGAGTCACCAGCTGGTCTAGCGGCAATGTCTGCGGTACGTTCCGTGTGACCGCCTTGTGCGCCCCGAACGGACCAGATGCGCGCTGAACCAAATACGGTGGCCATATAAGGGTACGGCAGGCGTTTGTTGGGTTGCACTCCCATAGCAAATGTCGAAAATAAGGGGGGGGGGAGAGGGTTGGTAACATGCATAGGGACGGCTTCGAACGTGCCGGCTACCTCCGGTCTGTTTGACTCTGTCTTGACCACAGGCAAAGGTGGGTGAGCAAACAGAGAGATCGATCGAGAGAGAGAGAGAGAGAGAGAGAAAGAAAAAGAAAGGGTTTGTGGTGGTTGCTGCGAGAGTCTGCATCATTTGAAACTATTTCACGGGCAAGTCACCGTCTCCGAATCACCCTGTCGTGAAGCCTACGGTGGGCATAATCGAAATCGACTTTCGAACAATCGTTACCGTCTTGTTCTAAAATTTATGTACGTAATGAGGTACGGATTTGTAAGCTGCAGGAAGGTCAAAATACCTCTTGATTTAATTTGAAACTGAAGATCCCGCCTCAGGTTGTTTTGCCGTTCTTTCAGCATTTAAGTAAACCTGTTCGGGCAGGCCCCATGCATTTCTGAAACTATCATCAGCTAGTATCTTTCATTTTTGCCATTCTGAGTCTTATGGGCGGCTTACAAAAGGTTAGGGCTTTTGATGCACTCTTCAGCAGAGTAAACCAGCACGCGAATATTTGTGGCATTTCATTGTTGGACGAGCGCCGACGATGCAAGATCTCTTCTAGGCAAATGCCTGATCTATGTGCATTGTGTGTATAGCTACCGAGAATAGACGATATAATATCCCCTCTGTTGGCTTGTGCTCGGACCTAAATTCGACAGTAGAATGCCCGACTTGACCACAGCAGACGGCAGCAAGAATGATACATGCGATTTCGAGGACCGAAATTCTCAGAAAATCGTGAGTCGCGAGTAACTTGAGTCATGGTTCACATGTCCCCATGGTATAATCAAGTGCAACGACCCGCTCAACCTATATTCGGGGCGGAGACTCAGTTTGACCAATGTAATTCACCACTTGGGGAACCCACGGGCGAATGCGTCGTCTAACACCTGCGCCAGGGAGCCATATGGCAGAACGATCATCACGCACAAAGCCAGCACGGGTGATGAAAGTTCAGCAGGTCACAAACCGCACGTCGGCCATCAAGCAATTAGCGCGTAAGCAGGCAAATATCCTGAACAGGGGAACGTTTGCAGTAGCATAGCAACTGTATAAGTTACTCGTTTCTGCTGTTATCTCTGATGATGTATCCGCGACGGATTTCGAAACGTAAGGCGAATCAAGTGTTTGTCCCAGCGATCACGTCTACTTTTTCTCGACTCCCTCTCGCCCATCCAAATAACCAACTCTTCATTGTCCTATGCCTGCTTCTCATGTTTCCCCGACAAACAATGATACAAATTCTACTCAGAAGAGAAGTCGCTAAGTGGATGATGGCCCGCAGCCTTTTCTCTCTCAAAGCGAAAAAATTGCTTTATTTAAACAATATAACTTTCATAGCCATTAATCATCATCAGTTTAAGGCCGGATGACGAGGAAACTGTGCAACCGAAAGGATTACTGTAAAGCGTGCTATCGGTCTTTCCAGCATGACGTTTCGAACCTATGTTCCAAACCCATCCCATCAGCGAGGACATTTATGTAGCAGTGTGTAGTGGGGACAAGGAGGACTTGAATTAATACTAACGCAGACCGTATTGGGCACAGTAGCTGAACCAGCACTCTTTTTGGTTCCCATGTGTCCAAAGAAAGTATACGTCTCACATTTCTGGGCACTTCCAAACACAGGATTGACCCAAAAAAGTCAACGTAGAAACCATCCCAGTATCAAGCCCGATCCAACCGCCAAAATAATCCCGCCAGATGATCACTGTCGGAACTAAAAATTTCTTAAACGCTACAACATACGAAAAAGTTTTCCAAGGGATTATAGAGAACAGAGGTTGCGTATACCCAGTCCCTAGAGTCTATAACAATCTTCATTTTTCGCAGGCAACGTCTTCTGGAAAGGCCATTTGACCGGATCAGGCATGTTTCCCTACGCCTACACATGTCATACCAATAAAGAAGCCAACTCTACTAGCAACGGTAGTGGGATTCAAGCTCTAATTTTCTCCCTCCATTCGAGCAATTGATTGGTTGTTGGGTCTTCTGCGTTAGCGTAATTAAGGGCGCCAACCAATGAGCGTACAAGTGCCCACCTGCGAGTAAGCAGGCAAGAATGATACTCAGACCACCGCTCAGACCTGCACGCTCAGCGGCCGGGCGAAGTCACCAACTCACGCGTGACGTGGCACGTCCGCCTCAGTCAATCCGCCGTGCGCAAACTAAAAAACGCTCTCCCTGCCAGCTGAAATTGTTAACAATTGTCGTTCTTACACATCTTAATATTGTTGTTTTTTCAGAATTTCCTTCTTTTTTTATCAAAAAGTACTTATAGGCGTTGTGTCCAACAGCGCTTAGAGTATTCTTTTCAGGCAATTGCCTTCATCAACGTGCAGACTGGGAGATCGTGAAAAGGCACTGCAACCCACACTGACAAAAAGCGCAAAATCGGGTGGATTATTAGCCAAGACAGTCAGAAAGCACCCAAACGACCGATCGGGAGGGGTTAAGCACGAGACGTACAGGAGGACAGAAAAGGCGCCTTTTGCTTCAGAAATTTTACTCGAGCGATCATTATCAGCGTTATCATCATCGTCATCACTGGCACCAACATCAAAAAGCAGTCAAGAGATAGGGGTAGGGACAAAATAGCCGAAGGTATATAAACAAATAAGAGATAAAATAAATAAGAGCAGGAGAGAGAAGGACGAAGGCAAAAAGACACAGAAAGAGAGAGAGAGAGAGAGGGAGCAGGTATCGTTAGAGAGGGAGATAAATTGGTTTCCAAAGGATCTGGAGACGAGCTGGGAGCACGGAGTGGTTGTAAAAAAAGGAGAGAGGGGCAGAGGTCAGTTTTTGTTTCGTTTACACTGATGCGCTCGCTCGCGAAGCGAAACACGCTACGCAGACGCAAGATTGGTGATGGGGCTGGGAGGGGGGGGGAGAGGGGGCGGGAGTTGAGTCTTTCCCAACTCCGCGCACATAGTCATATATAAGTATATATGTGCAGGTAGGTAGGTAGGAAAATAAAGGTTACTTTGTACGACGTCCGCCGTCTGCAGTAACGTGCGTGTTGATATATAGACACGAAAATCTATATCACAAGATCTCTCTCCTCAGAGTTGTGGGGGGAAAGGGCTGAGGGGAAACGAGAAGAGGTATCGGGGGGACTCAAAAGCAGAAAGGAAGTATTCTCGAAATCGTTTCACTGGCAATTGGCTTCCTCTCCCCCCTTTCCCATGCGTGGGTGTGTGTATACAAATCTAGCAGAGAGTAAAGCAAACGAGAATCGTTCAAGGCGCCGAGCAGAAAAGCCCCCTGTTGTACTCTTCTTCTTCGACGAACTGGCGCTGGCAACAACGGTAGTACTAAAAGGACCGGCAGCGGACGGGGGCAGGGAGAGGGGGGGGGATCAGAAACCCAAATTGCAGGAGACAGGGGGGAAGGGAGAGGGAAAATAACTCCTGATTGTCTTTCAAAGGAACGAAAATAAGACTTCGTACCG